AGTTTCCCCATGCTGGCTCAGGAATTCTGGGAGTTGAAGTCCACGAGTCATGAGGGGGCCATAGTTCCCCCGAGTTGTCTCAGGAATTCTGGGAGTTGAAGTCCACGAGTCATGAGGGGGCCATAGTTCCCCCGAGCTGGCTCAGGAATTCTGGGAGTTGAAGTCCACAAATCATGAGGGGGCCATAGTTTCCCCATGCTGGCTCAGGAAGTCTGGGAGTTGAAGTCCACGAATCATGAGGGGGCCATAGTTCCCCCGAGCTGGCTCAGGAATTCTGGGAGTTGAAGTCCACGAGTCATAAGTCAAGGTTGCCTACCCCTGGTATAAGGGGTTGGACTAGATGACTCCGAGGTCCCGTGCAGCCCTAGGATTGTAAATCTCCTTCGGCTCGGATATGCTTCCTCTTTTATTAATTAAAAGCAGAATCTCGCTTTCTAGAAAAAAAGGAAGGGCTACCTAAAGAGGCTACTACAGACAGACCTTGGCTTACGAGGCTGGAATTTACGTCGCTAAGCGAGAAATTAGCTAAGTGAGTTTTGCCCCATTTTATGACTTTGTTTTGCCACATTTGTGAAGCGAATCACTGCAGTTATTAAGTGAGTAACCCAGTTGTTAAGTGAATCTAGCTTCCCCCATTGACTTTGCTTGTCAGAAGGTCGCAAAAGAGGATCGCGTGACCCTCGGGGACGCTGCGACCGTCATAAATATGAGTCAACTGCCCAGCGTCTGAATTTTGATCACGTGACCCTGGGGGAGGCTGCAAAAGCCGTAACAGTGAAAAACGGTCGTAAGCCAGATTTTTTCGGTGTCGTTGTTAACTTAGAACGGTCACTAAATGAACTGTTGTAAGTCAAGGGCTACCTGTATTAAATCTGGAGTTGGGGAAGGGCGAAGAGAGATCATTTTAGGAGGAACGCTGATTACCCCAAAGGTTCTCTTTGAGCTTCCTGTTCTTAAATTGTGCTAAATTCTGCATTATGTTTAGAAGCCAGCAACGGCTCTTTGCAGGGATAAAGACATATTAAAGCAAGGAGAATCAGATAAGGGTCACCTGTAAATAGCAACAGCGCTTAGACTTATATACCACTTCACAGTGCTTTACAGCCCTCGCTAAGCGGTTTACAGAGTCAACATATTGCGCCCAACAATCTGGGTCATCATTTGACCGACCTCGGAAGGATGGAAGGCTGAGTCAACCTTGAGCCGGTCAGGATCGAAGTGCTGGTAGTGGGCAGTCAGCTTGCAATCCTGCATTCTAACCACTGCACCACCACAGCTTCCTTCCTTCCTTCTCCTTATTTCCCTTCCTTCTCATTTTTCCTTCCTTCCTTCCTTCCTTCCTTCCTTCCTTCCTTCCTTCCTTCCTTCCTTCCCAAGCAATAAGACTTATATACAGCTTCACAGTGCTTCACAGCCCTCTCTAAGCGGTTTAGAGTCAGCCTGTTGCCCCCAACAATCTGGGTCCTCATTTTACTGACTTCAGAAAGATGGAAGGATGAGTCAACCTTGAGCCGGTCAGGATCGAACTCCTGGCTGTGGGCAGAGTTTGCCTGCAATCCTGCATTCTAACCACTGTGCCACCATGGCTCTTAATGCAACATCCGATCAGCTACAGCAACAGCAGTAGTACTTAGACTTATATACTGCTTCACAATGCTTCACAGCCCTCTCTAAGCAGTTTACAGAGTCAGCAACTTGCCCCCAACAATCTGGGTCCTCATTTGACTGACCTCAGAAGGATGGAAGGCTGAGTCATCCTTGAGCCTGTCAGGATTGAACTGCCGAACTGCGGGCAGAATTAGCCTGCAGTACTGCCTTCTAACCACTGCACCACCACAGCTCAAACTAAGTGATGCCCAGAAGGAGAAAATAAAAAGTGTCCATTATGGTCACAGGGGACCTCACACAGCTTGAGAGCTGGTGGGTCACCCACTCCTGGCTTTGGTGGAGCAGCCGTGGAGGGGTGGGCTGACGCCGGAGTCATGGGTGGGTGGGTGGGCTTCGAACGTCATTATGGGTTCTCCTGAGCCACCCTTAGGAAATGAACCGTCCCACCTACTTGTCAGGTTTCCCAGGAAGTAAGAGACGGAGGCGGCATTTGTTGGCCGAGTGGATCTCTTCCTCCTTCACCCTCATCATCCTCTGCAGAGCTAAGCACCAGTCTTGGGCCACAGTCATGTTCAGGTTCTAGAAGCCAAGTGGAAAAAAAAAAGAAAATTAATTCATCGGGTCCCTCGTTTCAGGGGTAGGGTGGATCTGGCATGCGGAGTTCATTTCTAACAGTGTTGGGAGCAAATTCTCCAATTAGGACAGAAAGGAATCTTCCAAGGTTTTCTTGTTGCTCAAGCACAAGACCTCAACTTACAACCATTCGTTTAGTGACGGTTCAAACTTACAACGGCACTGAAAAAAAATGGGACTTAGGACCAATTTTCACACTTATGACCGTTACAGCATCCCCGTGTGATTTACATTCAGATGCTTGGCAACCGACTCACATTTATGACGGTCGCCGTGTCCCCCGGGGGTCACGTGATCCCCTTTGGTGGCTTTCTGACAAGCAAAGCCAATGGGGAAGTCGGATTCCACTTTACAACCGTGCTGCTAACTTAACAACTGCACTGACTCACTTAACAACGGTGCCAGGAAAGGTCGTAAAATGGGGCAAAACTCACTTAACAAATGTCCTGCTTAGCCATAGGAATTTTGGGCTGAATTGTGTTCGTAAGGCGAGGATACCTATAATTTTGCATCATGTCGCTCGCTGGAGTTTCTGTATAGACCAGGGGTAGGCAATCTTGGCTCTTTTGTGACTCATGGACTTCAACTCCCAGAATTCCTGAGCCAGCATGGGGGAACTATGGCCCCCTCATGACTCGTGGACTTCAACTCCCAGAATTCCTGAGCCAGCATGGGGGAACTATGGCCCCCTCATGACTCGTGGACTTCAACTCCCAGAATTCCTGAGCCAGCCATGCTGAGGGAAAGGGAGAGATTTCCAAGCTGAGCCATGCCGGCTCAGGAATTCTGGGAGTTGAAGTCCACGAGTCATAAAAGAGCCAAGGTTGCCTACCCCTGATATAGACCTACTGTCAGGAGCCCTTTGGGGTGCCCTGCCATCCTGTTGGGGGGGGGGGAAAGAGGAGGCCCTGGGGAGCATTCTTTGCATGCTTTTGCTTTTGCTGAAACCACATGGGCGTTAGGGAGGGGGAACATCTTCGGGAGACGAGAAGAACTCCCTCTCAACTGGTTTTGGCCTGTCTCCAAGGCCGCTATGCCCTGAGGATGACCCATGATCTGCCTTGCACCTCAGCATTCTCAAAACATCCTTGCGGCAATGCATTTGCTGCCAGTGGACTGGTTAAGGAGGGGTGGATTTTGGAATGGGAAAGAATTGCTTTGTGCTTTCTCGTGGGACCATTAGATTCCGCCCGACTTTACTGCATCCATTTTCTCTCAGTAAAAGTTCTTTCGATTAACTGACGGAGTCAAGAGTCGTGCTTTCCTGAAAGGATCAGCTGGGGCACCTACCCTTTTTAATTCCTCAAAAACCTAACCCGCCCTGTCTTCAGGGCTGCAGAACGCCCCTCCCCCAAGCTGCGAGAATCACGAGCTGATCAATAAATTAGCATCGATACGTCAGCCGTTCAGCTCATCAGAGAGAATAAAGCATGTCAGCTTCCTGTCTCTCTGCTCTCCACATATTTAGAACATGTTACATGCAAATCTAGACAGCATACTCAAAAGCAGAGACATCACCCTGCTGTGAAAGCTGGACCATAAGAAAGGCCGAGCGCCAAAGAATGGAGGCGTTTGAACTCTGGTGCTGGAGAAGACTCCTGCGAGTCCCCTGGACTGCAAGATGATCCAACCGGTCAGTCCTAGAGGAGATCAACCCCGACTGCTCTTTAGAAGGCCAGATCCTGAAGTTGAAACTCAAGCACTTTGGCCACCTAATGAGAAGGAAGGACTCACTGGAGAAGAGCCTAATGCTGGGAAAGATGGAGGGCAATAGAAGAAGGGGACGACAGAGAACGAGGTGGCTGGATGGAGTCACTGAAGCAGCAGGGGTGAGTTTAAAAGGACTCCAGAAGATGGTAGAGGACAGGAAGGCCTGGAGGAATGTGGTCCATGGGGTCGCAATGGGTCGGACACGACTTCGCAACTAACAACAACAACACATGCATTTATTCCGAAGAATAAATTAAAAATCCAAGCAGTTGTCATGAGGAGGAGCTGCAAAGCCAGCAAAGCAGCCTTAAAAGGCCTCTGAAATAACCACATGATGCTACAGCAACTTAACCTCTCTACACCGAGAGGGAGAGATTGGCTTCAACCCGAGGGGGTGTGGAGGGGGGAGTGGAAAGGAGAAAAGACTCAGCTGCCGTGGGAAGGGTCGCTCACGACTTCTGCGTTTCAGATCAAACTTATTTCACACGATTTCAAAGCTTTTGTGAATCACAGGGCTGGTGGCGAAGTGCCTTCAATGGCGTGCAGGTTACTCTGAAATGGACTCACCTGGTAGGTGCCGTGGAGGGTGCTGATTAAAAGAGTGATCTGCTCTACGACAGCCAGGTCCTTTTGCAGATCCTGCAGCTCCTGAAACAGGCGAGGGGGTCCCAGATAAACTTTATCTGAAGGAGGCAAACTTGGACTTTAGGGAACGCCATGACCATAGAGTTTCCTTGCCTAGAGGGCAAATACTCAGCCTTTCTCGGTACAATTACATTTCACAAATATCTTTTTCTTTCTTTTATTCCTAATACAGGCAGTCTTTGACTTGCAACCGTTGTCTTAGCAACCATTCATAGTTACCCTGGAACTATTGGGGGGGGGGGCTATTTATGAGCCAGATCCAAAGTTCTTGGCGACACAGCTGCGGTTATGGCCACACGGCCGCCTTTTCCAATTGTTGTGACTTACAACCATGATGGACAGGTTCCATTAAGATCTTAAGTTGAGGTCTGCCGATACTAGCAAACTCATCGTACTGAATCCATCGTAAAGAACGCTACTGACTTTAAACAAAAAAGGATGCTCTTTGAGGGTGCCTCACAGCTTTAAAAATAAAACTCAAGGGGACAGAAATCTCCTCTCTTCAGTTCAGCTGAATGCTGGGCCCCTTTCAGGAG